AAACGTGAACCCTGGGAGTGTTCATGATAGGAAATAAAATGATCACCAGGGTAGTAAAATTATAAAATTTTATTAAAAAGCGCCTAGCTTTCGCCGTCACCTGCCGGCATCCTCAGGGCTAGTGCGCCAGGGAGTGGGAGAGTCATTCTTATAGGTGTGGTGAAGTCTGCGCACGACTCCTCGACCTCGTCATCGGGCCTAAATAGGATAACTGCGTGCGGCTGGTCTGCTCCTTTCTATTCATCTCAACCGTCCGTTCATCCTCCTCCATCCCTCTCCCCCTCAGTCTTGAGGTGAGCGGGCAAGTGTCTCTATGGTTGCAACAGTCCCTATATTTGAGCTCTTTTCCCTCGGGGGTAAATGGCAACGTGCATTTCGTGTTTCTTTTACAGTCCTCCTTCGTTCCATCATTCTTCCTATGGCAAGTTTTTTGTTGTTGAATTTTGGTATTTTTGTTTCTTATGCAGGTGTCATTCAAGTGATCGCATGGGTCCTTTCGAGGTAGTTGTAATTCATTATCGATCTGGGGCTGGAGGGGGGGACCTTTTGAATGCGGGGGGAGGAGTGGTGATTCCTCAACTGTCCCTGTGTGTAGTCGTTTTGTGCGCGCTGCGCCCTGTTCGGGCAATCTGGAGAGGGTAGCGGTGGAGCCGCGCTTTCGCTCTTCCTCTTGGGGTAGGTATCGTCCAGGTGATCTCACGCGCCCCTCCCAAGTAGATGTAGTTCGTCGGCAGTCCAAAGTCGGAGGGGAAGTCATTCGGTCATGGGTGGAGAGGGGCGGAGGCTCCCCGCCCGTCGTTGCCCCCAGCTGTCCGGCGCGTCTCCCGCTGCGAGTGATCGATCCGGAGGGAAGGTTAGCAGTAGAATCGTAATCTGCTTGATCTTTGCAGCGTCCTTCCTCACTATAAGTAGATATAGATCGTCGGCAGTCCAAAATCGAAGGGCAGGCCGTTCGGTCATAGGTGGCGAGGGGCGGAGGCTCCCCGCTCGTCGCTGCCCTCAGCTGTCCGGCGCGTCTCCTGCTACGAGTGATCGGTCCGGAGGAGAGGGTAGCGATAGAATCGCAGTCTATTTGATCTTTACAGCGTCTTTCCTCAGGTAATTTTACTACCCTGGTGATCATTTTATTTCAATGACTCTCCCACTCCCTGGCGCACTAGCCCTGAGGATGCCGGCAGGTGACGGCGAAAGCTAGGCGCTTTTTAATAAAATTTTATAATTTTACTACCCTGGTGATCATTTTATTTCCTACTGAGGAAAGACGCTGTAAAGATCAAATAGACTGCGATTCTATCGCTACCCTCTCCTCCGGACCGATCACTCGTAGCAGGAGACGCGCCGGACAGCTGAGGGCAGCGACGAGCGGGGAGCCTCCGCCCCTCGCCACCTATGACCGAACGGCCTGCCCTTCGATTTTGGACTGCCGACGATCTATATCTACTTATAGTGAGGAAGGACGCTGCAAAGATCAAGCAGATTACGATTCTACTGCTAACCTTCCCTCCGGATCGATCACTCGCAGCGGGAGACGCGCCGGACAGCTGGGGGCAACGACGGGCGGGGAGCCTCCGCCCCTCTCCACCCATGACCGAATGACTTCCCCTCCGACTTTGGACTGCCGACGAACTACATCTACTTGGGAGGGGCGCGTGAGATCACCTGGACGATACCTACCCCAAGAGGAAGAGCGAAAGCGCGGCTCCACCGCTACCCTCTCCAGATTGCCCGAACAGGGCGCAGCGCGCACAAAACGACTACACACAGGGACAGTTGAGGAATCACCACTCCTCCCCCCGCATTCAAAAGGTCCCCCCCTCCAGCCCCAGATCGATAATGAATTACAACTACCTCGAAAGGACCCATGCGATCACTTGAATGACACCTGCATAAGAAACAAAAATACCAAAATTCAACAACAAAAAACTTGCCATAGGAAGAATGATGGAACGAAGGAGGACTGTAAAAGAAACACGAAATGCACGTTGCCATTTACCCCCGAGGGAAAAGAGCTCAAATATAGGGACTGTTGCAACCATAGAGACACTTGCCCGCTCACCTCAAGACTGAGGGGGAGAGGGATGGAGGAGGATGAACGGACGGTTGAGATGAATAGAAAGGAGCAGACCAGCCGCACGCAGTTATCCTATTTAGGCCCGATGACGAGGTCGAGGAGTCGTGCGCAGACTTCACCACACCTATAAGAATGACTCTCCCACTCCCTGGCGCACTAGCCCTGAGGATGCCGGCAGGTGACGGCGAAAGCTAGGCGCTTTTTAATAAAATTTTATAATTTTACTACCCTGGTGATCATTTTATTTCCTATCATGAACACTCCCAGGGTTCACGTTTTTAATCTTCTTAAACGCGAATATATATATATATATATATTCTGAGGTTTTCGCGGGTATTTGTATGTAGGTCTTTGGTTGTTCGGGTTTTCTCCTGCGTAAAATTGGAAGTGTCTTGGCGACGTTTCGACGAAGTCCCATTCGTCATCTTCAGGCTGGTGTTTTCAGCTTCGTGCTTTGAGCAGCAATGTGTGGTCTTAGCTGTTTATTCCTTTTAACTGCCAGTGGGGGTATGAACTGATTGGGTGGGAGCTTGGCTGTGTTCTGATTGGGTGGAGGTGTGTTCTGAATGGTTAGGGGCTTGGCTGTTGCTCTGATTGGCTGGGGGAGTGTTCTGTTTGGTTGTGCTCAGGTTAGTCTGAGTTGCAGAGGGGTTTAAGATTTTGGGCTGCCATTGCTATTTTTTGGCTTCGCGTTCGTGGTCGTGCCTCCTCTTCATGGAGGGTGTCAGTTTGCTTCATGTATGGATTGGAGGGGTTTAAAGTGGCTAATGATGCAGCTGTGGTCTGGCTTCTGGTTTGTGGTCGTGCCTCATCATCGGTGTGGCTTTGGGTTTGTTTTTTGCGTGGATGTGTGGTGGTGACATCCTGTGTGGTTTTTGTGAGTGTGGGTCTGGTATCATTTTTTGTGTTAGGGAGTCGTTTGTCAATAAGGGCGGGTTTCCAAATGGCTGGTAGGCGGGAGGTATCATCTCGCTTGTTCATGCTGTGTGGGTGTTTTTCTATCTCGATGGCTTCTCTGATTATTCTGTTATTAAAATGTTCACTTTTGGCAATGGTTCTGGTATTTTTAAAGTCAATTTCATGTCCTGTGGCTTTAAGGTGTTGGACCAGGGAAGATGTTGGTTCCTCTTTTTTGACTGAGTTCTTATGTTCTTCAATGCGTGCACTTATTCTTCTGTTGGTTTGTCCAATGTATGTGGTGGGACAAGTGGTGCATGGGATTTCGTATACTCCTTGATTTTCTAATTCAATTTTATCTTTGGGGTTTCTAAGGATGGTGGATATTTTTCTGTTTGTGCAGAATGCTGTTTTGATGTTGTGTTTATGGAGGATCTTACTGATTCTGTCTGTGGTGCCTTTTATGTATGGGAGGAGGGCTTTGCCGTTTTCTTGTTCTTTGTCTTGGATTTTAGTGGGGGTTTCTTTTTGGATTAGGTTTGTAATCTTATTTCTATGGAATCCATTGGATGTTAGTACATTGGTGAGAGTGTGTAGTTCACCAATGTACTAACATTGGTGAACTACACACAAACGACCACAAACCAGAAGCCAGACCACAGCTGCATCATTAGCCACTTTAAACCCCTCCAATCCATACATGAAGCAAACTGACACCCTCCATGAAGAGGAGACACGACCACGAACGCGAAGCCAGAAAATAGCAAGGCAGCCCAAAATCTTAAACCCCTCTGCAACTCAGACTAACCTGAGCACAACCAAACAGAACACTCCCCCAGCCAATCAGAGCACAGCCAAGCCCCTAACCATTCAGAACACACCTCCACCCAATCAGAACACAGCCAAGCTCCCACCCAATCAGTTCATACCCCCACTGGCAGTTAAAAGGAATAAACAGCTAAGACCACACATTGCTGCTCAAAGCACGAAGCTGAAAGCACTAGCCTGAAGATGACGAATGGGACTTCGTCGAAACGTCGCCAAGACACTTCCAATTTTACGTGGGAGAAAACCCGAACAACCAAAGACCTACATATCATATATATACACACACACACACACACACACACACACACACACACACATACATGCATACATACACACATACATATATAGGAAGTTTTTCAGACAGACTGGTCTGATTGATTACACCTTGACATTTTTAACTGCTATACTGCAGTTATACTTTTTACAATCTCTTTTGTCTTGCAGCCCCCCAACTAGGGGTGTTAAGCAGGCTCAAGTCGCAACTGCGAAACATTTACAAATCCAAATTTCTTTTTCTGGCAAAGAGTTCGAATCCCATAAAGGGTGTGGCTAACTGAAGAGAGCAGAATGAGCTCAAAATGGCCATATTAGTCTCCCAATTTAATTCTTTAACTCTTTGCCAGAAAAAGAAATGTCAAGGTGTAATCAATCAGACCAGTTTATCTGAAAAACTTCCTGTATATACTCCCTTGACTCGTATGGCAAAGAGGGGAGGAAAGCCTGTGGCTTGGTGGTTAAATCACTGCCTAGTATGTAAACTGCCCAGGTTCGAATCCCATAAAGGGTATGGCTAACTGAAGAGAGCAGAATGAGCTCGAAATGGCCATATTAGTCTCCCAATTTAATTCTTTAACAATTTGCCACAAAAAGAAATTTGGAGATATATATATATTTTCTGAGGTTTTCGCGGGTGTTTGTATGTAGGTCTTTGGTTATTCAGATTTTCTCCCGCGTAAAATTGGAAGAGTCTTGGCGACGTTTCGACGAAGTCCCATTCGTCATCTTCAGGCTGGTGTTTTCAGCTTCGTGCTTTGAGGAGCAATGTGTGGTCTTAGCTGTTTCTTCCTTTTAACTTTAAATTTAACTTCCAATTTTACGCAGGAGAAAACCCGAATAACCAAAGACCTACATACAAATATATATATATATATATATATATATATATATATATATATATATATATATATATATATATATTCACACACACAGTATATATGTATATTTTTCTATTTTTTTTACAAAATGTGTATATTAATAATCTTTGCATATTTTTTTAAAATAAACTTAAGTAGTTCAATAACTTCATTTTAAAATAGGAAAAGGCAGATAAATACTTCTTTATACATCATCAGCTGGTAGAGGTGGGACGCTGATCCTTGGCATTGTAAAGAATGCCATCTTCTCTCTGTCGTATGTGGGAAAAATATTGTGCAATTATTTCAGTACATAGTTTAACTCATTTAACAAACAAACAGAATATTGTATCATTTACCCAAGACCAACTCCTAAAGTAGCAACATAAGACTAGAAAAAATTATAAAAAGGTGTTTTGGATGTTCTCAATCATCCCCATATTTGCACAGTCCCATTGGATGCTATCTTAATTACTTCAGAAACTGCATTCATGTATTTGCATAATTAAGGATAATTATGAGGCTTCAAAGAATTCAGGCAAAATGAAAAAATTAAACCAGACTTCAAATTCCCAAATGCCCTTCCTACAGATATTTTTTATGGTTTATCTTTATCCATGTGTGTATGTACAAATGTGTGCATGTATGAAAGCCGTGAGATTTAGTACAGAACTAGGAGCAGGGATGGCTCAGTATTATATTTCCCCTCCTTAGATGACTCAGGATCACTCAGTTAGTCTGGGCCTAAAGTATCTGATTGTATTGTTATAGAGAAAAATTAGATGAAACATAGGATACAAATATGGAATGTTTATGTGCATGCATTTGTATACATTCTTTGTTTACATAAAAATACCATTAGCCAAAAATGTACTTCAAAAATTTTAGATTCATTAGTACTTATAGACATGAATTTGATTTTATATACTTTAGCTGCTTATATGTAAAAGCAGATGTATAGTAGAGTCAAATGTGAAAATGTACCACGTCTGATAAGAGCTGTACTCTGAAAGTTTTAGATCTATATTCATTATTCCTGTGATTAAGGGAAAGCCTGTAATTTTTCTCAAGCCTAGTAATCAATAAAGTGATAACTCATATTTGGGTTTTATTACTTCAGACTATAAATGGAAAGTATTTTAATTGTTCATTTTCACTTTTTATTCCATGAATGCTCAGAAGGAAATAGTATGTGAGACTTCCAGTTTGACATCGTGACGTAATGGGCGCAGGAAGACAATTTCGACCCGCCTAAAAAGGATTGAAAGTCACCCCGAATAGGCAACGAAGAAGGGGATCCTCGTTGATCGTGGAGGGGCGGCGGCTCTTCCGCTGGATCCGAGGAAGCCCTCCAAACTGGAAGGGGGAAAACTGGCTACATTCATGTGGCCAGTCAGAAGCTGCTGACAACTGAAGATAAGCACTAATTAGCAATTTCTGAGCAACGTGGATGGAACTGGTGAGACGTTATCCTCTTTTTATGGCCCTAACACTACTTTCCTGGAAAAAAGAACATCCAAAGCAAAGAATCCTCCCCGATGAGAGAGAGAATGGAAGTTATTGCCCTGCTCCCTCAGGAAAAGAAAAGCGGCAAATTAACTGCTTTGGGGGAAAACAGAGGAAATTACAAAAACAATTTGGAACTAATACAGATCTATGACTTTGAAATTTGGGAACTAAAAGTATCTTTGGGACTTTTTGTTTAGAAAAAATATTTGAAAGTTTGCAAAATAAACTTGGATTTTGAAAGTTGGAAGACTGTGCCAATGACATCTAGTGGAGAAATATGGCACTACAATTTATTATGTTTAAGGGAAACTTAGCTTGAAGCCCAGACTCAGATAAGACTCTTTGTTCTTCCTGAACACTTTCACTTTTCTAGACTGCAGCTGGAAAAAGGGAAAAACAAAAACTCTTGGGCTGCTTATCTGGGTTGGGGACCCTATTGGACTATAAAGACTACATACAAAAACAAAATGAGTGTTCCATATAAGGCTTAAATGGTAAAAAACCTGTTTCCAAACCTCCCAGCTTGATATATCAACAAGAAAATGTTAATGAATCTCAGAAAGAAATTCTTTCCATGTTGAAATCAATCTAAGAGACAATTGTTTTATTTTAAGATGAGACTAAAAATAATGCAAATGAGATAAAAGAACAATTTTCTAACCTAAACTTACAAATCCAGACAATGACTGCAAAGAAGGATCTAATAACCCAGAAAACAGAAGGAAAATTAGAAGAAACAGATTCGAAGACAGACAAATGAAAAATTAGAAGATGCAGTGATAACACCAGAAATGGAAAAGACATCCTACTTGTCAAGATCTCAGAACACATTTGAGGATAAGGAAGAAGAGCTGATCGAACGGATGATAAAGCTGTTAGGAGAAATGCTGAAATGCAACAAGAAATGAAAAGAAAAACTGAAGGAGAAGGATAGAGGCTATTTAATGAATATAAATGGGTTGAGCGTTCTTCCAAAATCATTTCAACCAAATTCTTTTCCTCATTCCAAACAATATATACAAAAACAGAGGAAGAACTACTTGATGATTTAAATATACTGACTTGGAAAGTTATTTGCAAACGAAGAAAGCCAGAGTAAGACTGAAGAAAATAGAGGTTCTGACCTATTAGATGGGATATTATATTACTAAATAGATGTTTGAATATGGCTAAGAAAATAGATAACTGTTAGAAATAAAAGTGTTATTATAATTAGAAGGATAGGATTTGTAACTAGAATAATATACTTTGTTATAAGATGGGATATATGAAAATTCTAAAAGGGTTTGAATAAGGGAAGCTTTTGGTTACCCAACTATAATTTATTATGAAAAAATTATAAGCGATAGAGATATTTTGAATATTGATGGAAAATTAAAATTTTAAAAAATCTGGAAAAACAGGATATTGATTGAATAAATGGATTTTAAGTGCAAATGCAATTGAGATATATTTTGGCTAGAAAAGATATTATAAATTGATACTATTGATATTATGTATAATACCAGAAAAATGTGATGAAGATTTAATTGTATATGTATTAACAGTAACAAGAATTGTATTTGTCCAGTATGGAAAAATGCATACTACCAGAAGAAGAGAGGACTAAGGAAGCAGTAGATGGTGTAGATTGGACAAGACTGAGAAAGTTAATATGTACCAGTGAATTACTAATAGACCCAGACAACTCATTGCTCATTAAGTACTTACGATTGTAAAATTAAAAAATTAATAAAATATTTATATAAAGGAAATAGTATGTGTACAAGAAATAAAATAAATGTGTGCTCTTTTCAATTATGACATTAACTATAAGCTTAAATACTTTCAAAATAATTTAAACAATTCTTAATAGCTTACCGGAAAGTCTGCACCTGAAAAGGTATCTTTTGATTTTGACCACGCAGTTGGTATACTTCTTTGGAAGCTTTTTTAAGCAATTTTTCAGCTGCTTGTTGTTGACGATGATCAAATTTTATTTGCCTTGTCTAAGGAAGCAATTAATTCCTTTATTTATTTATTGAATTTATATCACAAATTTCTCTTTGTATAATAAGCAGTCCAGGCAACTTATAACCATTCAAACAATTACATAAAATGTAAACCATTCCCCATTAAATCAATGTAATCCATTTTTAAAAATCAGCATAATTACAAACTTTGGCAAAAGAGGGATCTTTTCTGCCATTTTCCTTAAAGTGCATTTTGTAGCCTCAGACTTATCCAAGGAAGTAACCAAGGCTGTATGACTTCCAACAGTGATGATATATACTGGACTAAGTAACTAGGCTGGTTCATAGTGAGAGCCTCAGTCCCTCAAATAGTAAAGATCTAAGTTGCTAAGGAGTTTTAAGATCAAGACCTTAAATTGTTCTCAATAAATTACTGAGGAAGGATCATGCTTCGTGCACTAGCAGTAAATTACACATATGCAATTTGAAGCACAAATGCCACATGCAAATTCAATGACAACTGGGGGTTCTTGGAATATTCCCAAATTGTAAACTATGCTTTCTGGGGAAATGCCACCTCATCTACAACCAGCTTCATTTGAAACCTCAAGTTAAGCTTTTTCCTACCAATAATGCCTCCATATTTCCTATATTTATTTACTTATTTAGAGAATTTATATGGCTGCCCACTCACTTTCAGTGACTCTGGGTAGCTTACAAAAAATAAAAACCCAATATACAACTGTAAAAATAACAATGGCCCCTTTTTATTTTCTAGATTTAATGTCAGTTTGAAACAAGTCAAGATTAATGGACCTTTGATTATATCTATTTTTAGTGGGTTATGACAGTCAATATTTAGTAACTGTTTTCCTGTTTCAAAAAATGAGTGATTTTTTTCTTGCCTCCTGATCCTATATCTTTAAGGAAGCTAGAAGGGATGCCAATCAAAGTGATAGCTATCACCTTTATAGCATATGGCTAGTTACCTGAGGGATTGTATTTTTGACTGTTTCTTTTTTATTGATTTTTTTTACAATAACAGCCTTAGTGCCTGGTGTACAGTGTGTTGACTTGGTTCATAATTTTTTTAGAAAAGAATATATAATTAATAATAGTTAATAAACAATCAATAATAATTAATTTTTATATTTCCACAATTAGTATATCAATTTATAATATATTTCCTTGATCGTCTCTTCACCCAGTAGTATTCTCCTTTTACAACATTAAACAAATATAAATTCTAATATTTGATATTTTCCATATTTAAATGATTAAAAACATTTTCTTCTATAATTATACCAACAATAATAGCATCCATATGTAGCATTTTTTTTCTTATCAGCTTATGTTATTTTCGTAAGAGTCATCTTATTGATTCACCATGTATCTTATTTTCATAAATCTTGTTTAAGCTCAATTTCTCTATAATATTCAAACAATTCTTGTCAATCATATTTTCCCCAGTATTTAACATCTAAATATCCAAATTTTCCATTTAAATATATCAGCTCAGTATTTTCATATTTCATATATTATAAGAGATACTATATTAATTTATCATAACATCTATCCATAACATCTTTCTAGTCAATTTATATTTCACTTCTATTTGTAAAAATAAGTTAAATCACTATATATCCTTTTTTTCAGAGTTCTCATTAAGCCTAATTTCCCCTCAATATTTCAATCATTCCTTAATCCTAAATCTTTTCAAATTTAATTTTTCTTTAAAATTCAAACTTTTCCTTCATTTACATCCTAATATTTTTACATTTTGTATCTTATAAAAAAAATACTATATTACTTATATCTCTTATCCCACTCATTCTAAAGTTACTTTATGGCCAAAGTTATTTGTTTATTTAGCCATATTCAAAAAAGTGTTTACTCATATAATATTCCATCTGGTAGGGCGAATCCAGTCTGTTCAGCCCATCTCTAATCTTCTTCCTTTGCCAAATTGTTTTCCAAATTCATATTTCCAACTTGTCCAACTCTTCTATTTTTGCAATTATTGTTAGGAGTAGAGGATACATAGTAGATAGGATGTATGCTTTTTGTCTCCCAAACAATGATTCTCCTAGCAGTGTCCATTTTGTTAAGTCTTCTTTCTCAGGTTTACTTTGACGTTCTATTGCATAAGGTATCTTTTCCATATTTATTGTTGTATCCAAGTCTTGTAAGTTTTTTCTTGTTTGTATTAAGTTATAATTCCCTTCATTTGTAACTTCACCAGTTGAAGTGTGTTGGAATATTCATGAACAGGAAGAGTCATGTGGTAACTCAGTCAGCCAATGTGAGGAAAGTGCTACTGAGTCTGTGCAAAAAAGAGTATTGAGTTAAGGAGCTGGATTTCCAGTCTCAAGGTTTTGTCTCTGGTCTGTCTCTGTAAGAAGACTTCATTAAGCTATGTTGCTGTAAAGAAGAATGGTATTGTAAATATTTTTATATAAATATAAAGTTATTTGAATCAGCTAAATGCAGTCAACTGTGAGAACTTCTGATTTATTTTTCACCAATAGAGAAATTAAAATTCTCTAACAGGTTATGGGCCCAGAGCTTACTAAGGACTGCATTGTAATTTAAAGCTGGAAGAAATTGCCTGTGTTTAGAAAGTATGAGAACAAGGCAGAATTAGCAGAATAGCTGCAATGGAATTTAAAAAAAGCTGTGTGCCTCATTTGGGCCAGAAGAATTACATTGTGTGGGCTGCAAAAATGGAATGTTTGCTGAAAGCAAAAGAGCTGTGGTATATTGTAGAAAATTCACCACAAGTGTTTGCAGGTTGATCAGAAAAATCATGATAGAGCAATGGCTTATCTCATCTTGAATTTAGATGATGCACAATTTCTAAATGTTGCAAATTTAAAGACTGCAAAGGAGATATGGTTGAAACTGAGAGCTGTGCACGTGAATGTTTCTGCTTGCAACATAGTGCAATTGTCAAGAAAACTTTACAGAGCCTGTTTGCAACCAGGTGAATCTGTGGAACAGCATTTAAATAAAATGCAAAATTTATTTTTGGACTTAGAACAACGTGGGATTAAATTCCCTGAGTCCCAGAAGGTTTTATTAGATAAAACCTGGGACACAGTTTCTGCAATATTTGAGTGCAAAGAAGAGCAAGACTTAAAGTTTGAGGCTTTAAAGGCATGTTTGCTTAATGAAGAGGAAAAACGCCGATGTCAATGCTGCAAATACTGTATATTCTTGCTTTGACAATATGCAAAACTGTCTGGTATTTACTGGGTTAATACATAGCTTAGAGTGGGGGGGAAAAAGCCCAGGAAAGAAAGAGGAAGTAAACTTTTGACCTTCACACTAATTGGATAATGTGACTTGTGACTGCAAGATAAGGGAGGGGTTTAGCAAGAAAAGATTGATGCCAGCGAGAGGAAGTCAGATTCTGGCATCACAACATCCATGATGGTGACCGGCAATTTGTAGCTCTGTAATAAAGACTTTAGGAAACATGCCTGAAAGTTCTTTGAAGTGCTTCATTAGTCGGAACCTCTGACATCATGCCAGAATCCAACATTCTTTTCAAACAACCTGCGGTCCCGAACTCCATAAGCTGCCCTATGCTTTAGAAGAGCTGGCAAAGTTTCGGGGAAGATCTCACTATGGAGAAAGAAAGATTGCCTGAGACCAGCCCTGTGGCTGCAACAGTTTCCCCGGCGAGGGGGGGGGGAACGACAGCCAGCAAGCCGGGGGAGAGAGGAATTTGGCAGATTTCCCAGCTGAGAGCGAAGACTTCAAAAGCAGAGTGGACAGATAACACAGTTATCGGTGAGTCGTTGGAAAGATTTCAAAACTTAGAAATGAAAACCAGAAATCAGTTCCTACAAAGTGAAACCTACAGCCCTTCTATTGCAAATGTTCCTGCCATGGACTCCAGCCCTGAGAGAGAGAATCCCAATCTGAATCCTCTGCAGCAAGAGGGAAATTGGGTTTCCCAGCAGGTGGCTGGTCCATGTCCTCTGAACTTACCACAGCTAATAGAGGCCTTGCAATGTCTTGGGGTGGTACAGAAGCCAGGAAATCAGCAGCTGTGGGGAGAACAGCCACAGCAAGGAGGTTGGCTACAGCCCCCAAACGTGCAACCCCTGGGCATAAATCTGCAGCCAGGTTGGGGCCTACAGCAACTGGGGTGGCCACAAGAGCAGTGGGGAGCCCAGCAGGAAGCCTGTCAGACCCTGCCTTCACCGGCCAGAGACCCCAACCCTGAAGTGAGGGTGAGTTCCAGTCTGAGGCATCTGCAGCATTGGGTAGATGGTTTCCCCAGCAGATGAATGATCAGCAGCAGCAGAGGGCACCATCACCCCCTGCAGTCCAACAACAGAGAAGACCACTACAACCCCCACTTGCGCAGCCACCATTGGGAGGCCTACAGCAGCAGGGGGCACCATCCAACCCCACTGGCCAACAGCAGAGGGCCCAGCAGTCGTGGAACCAGCCCCAGTGGGGGCCACAGCAGCCTGTGTTCGCACCACCCTTCAATGCAACCTTTGATGGGGACCCAGAGAAGCTGATTTTTTTTCTCAACCAAGTGCATTTTCACTTGAAATGCTGGGCCTATCTGTACCCATAACCAGGGGCCATGGTCAATGTTATTGCGTCCAACCTAGAGGGAGAAGCATCTGAATGGCTGAACCATTTATATAGCGAGCAAGCCCCCGAATTGGAAGATCCCCACCGCTTTCTTTTAAGTCTCAGAGAACGATTTGAGGACCCATCCATTGGCCTCAAAGCAGCAGGATAAATTCACAAAATAAAACAAGCTGGGAGGCCTACCCTGGAGTACGTGCGAGAATTCTGCAAGATAGCAGGTCAAATAGAGGGGTGGCCTGAGCAGTCCCTCATCCATTACTTCATTGAGGGATTAGACGATCACCTCTCTCAGGCCTGCATCTATCGAGAAATACCTGATCGGCTGCAGGAGTGGTACCAGACAGCTGTGAAGCTAGATGTTAAGCTCTCTCACTATAAAAAGCCTCCCCCACATGAACCCGAACCGCAACCAGAGCTAC